TTTCCCGGTTGGGTCTCGCTCCGACTTTTGTCGTGGACTCCATGAGGAGGAGGACGAGTTCACATGGCCTAGAAAACTCCAGCAATCTAGCTTCCGCGGCCCCAGCAAAATTGTTGGTTTTTCTGCTTTCTGCATAAGGAAAAAACCAGCAATTTGCTGAATTGCTTCTCACTGAATAACCCCATAATGATATAGACGTGATGGGGCCTGGCGAGAGCTATGATTTGGTACCGAAACCGTCTGTATATCTCGTTTTAGAGACAAGTTATCAGCCGGCCCGCTTGCAAATATGGTTTTTATGATTTTTAAAATTCAATTGTTCCCTTTTTCAGGAATTCCTCTTCCACAAGTGCATCATGGTGAAGCAGGCTCCAACTCGTCAGTTCCGTGACCGAAGTATGAGTCAATCAACGAGTACGAGTAACACATCGAGTGCCTCCTCATCTGGATAATAACCTCTTCTTTTTTTTAAGAGAAAGGTATCCTTGGAGCTCTTTAAAAATGTGTATTCTTCGGGTCCCGCCCATTTTTTTTCGAAATTATGTATTAACCCCCACTTTTTTCTCTAATTATCGGTTCTACTGTTGTTCTATAGTGTACTTTCATCTCTCTTTTCATCCCGGTCCCCTATATGTACATAGTTGAACACATCACACAAAACCTTATTTGCCTCAAAAATTCGTTACCCTCCTCCCCATATATGGGTCTAATATTCACACGCAGCCGGCTCTGTATTCAAAAAAAAATCTCAAAAACCTCTTGCAAGTCACTTGTTTCCATCCCCTCAAAAATGTATAAAAAATCAAAAGAGCTGGTTCTCGGAAATTGTATGTTTTTCTTTTTCTCCTCTTCCCCGTTTATGTATGTTTCATCTCTCTCTTTTTTCTTCCCCGTGTGAATATGTAAACTCATTAACTACCTAATTATTTTTTTTTGTCTCATTACACCCATCCCCCTTATCATCTAATCAAGACTAATAAGAGTCTGAGCTTATTAAATGCCTCCTCCCCCTTTATAACGCTCTGCATTTAATCGTTCCTCGTTTTATCGTCTCCTCATTTTTCTGTTTTTTTTTGGTGCTAACCCCATTCGGATCACCACACTAAACCTCCTTGCCCCCGTCCCCTTTCGATTTTTTTGTCCTGATTACAAACACATATGATTGCTTGTAATAAAAATAGAGCTCAGGCGTGAACTGTTACATGTGCCAACGCCACATATGTATGTCACCATGTGGCCATCTGCCGAACGAACGACTGGAAATTAGTCTTAAAATTAGTCTGAAAATTAAAGAATATGTTGAGTATTGAGAGAGTTGTTTCAAACAAGGGAAACGGAGACATTGTCAAGGAGATAATCAGTGGGTCAAGAAATCTGAAAAATATCGAACTTGAAAAAAAATTTTATCAGCTCGTGATGTAGATCCAGAAATCAAAGAGCTAAACTTGATTCGCCATCGAATTTTGCGCATTTGCCAGTTTGAGAATACACCGAAAATCGAGTATGAATTTTGTTTTTTTTTTCCAATATTTTGGAAAAATTTTTTAAAGAAATCTGTCTCTCCGCTGGAATTTGCTCAAAAAAGTGCCCGATGTTCAGTGCTTATCGGCATTGACACATTTGAATTTGAACGACAATCAAATTGAGAAAATCGAGAATCTGGAGACGTTGAGCAATTTGGAGTTTCTCGACGTCTCCTACAATCGAATCACGAAAATCGAGGGACTTTCTGGGTTGGCGAAGCTCAAAGAGCTTCATTTAGTTCATAACAAGATCGTGGTTATCGAAGGATTGGAGGAGGTATTGATTTTTCTTAATTTTCAGCGATTTTCACCGTATTTTTCAATGAAGATCGGTTGAAATCATGAAAAAAAAAACGTTAAAATAACGGTGCAAGTCGTCGAAAAATTAAGAAAATAACCACCGATTCCGAGGAAGGGGTTGTCTCCGAGGAACCGATTCCGAGGAAATCGGGGCGGAGTTTCAACTTTTGCAGTGCCGCAGTTGAACCGTGCGGCAGT